GATTTTAAAACAGTTTCATCTCAAATCAATATCTTTACTTATGTGGCGAAATGCTGTGTGTAATAAGTGGGAAGACTGTACCGTATCCCTTAAATGTCCGTCTAGTTTGAACTTGCCCCGCTAGCAACTGCTCTCTCGCGGAAGCTTTGCGTTTAAAGAGCTAAAAAAATATTAAGACTCAGATCAATATTTCATGTCTAATTATTTACTCATATGCCAAGTAGCCGTGTAATAAGTGGGATAATGTACATCCAGCCAGTTGTTATCTCAGAATAAACCCCTTCAGGCTGATGCAAGACCTGATCACCCTCTCTGTGGTCTATTCTGAGATAACAACCGGCTGGATGTACATTATCCCTTACTTAAGACCCCCCAACTTTTGTTTTCACTTCCTTTGTGGGGAGGTTCCTTAATTAGGGTGGACAGAACCCCCTCCCCATTTTATTCATACCCTGACTATACTGTTGAGAAATGTTGCAGCTGGTGTGACCGCTTTTCCTATTATGTATGACGAGAGCATGTTAATGAATAATTGTACCCTGTATACTCCATATATGTGGTTCTCTGTCATGTTTTTCCACATTGAGTTGACACAGGCACTGCTCCAGTCGTGCATATGACATGTTTAGTGAGGACTAAAACCGTGCCAAAAGGACTTAAGAACACCTCCCATTTCAAGCAGTTTAATCTCACTGGTACATGGCAGAGTCGTCATATTTTCACAAGCTTGTGGTTAATCCGCTGTAGGCGAACAGAACAGTGAGGCTTGCTCCTCCAGATGACAGTATGATAGTGATGGCTGTTTTTCTTGGCTCTGGTGGCCAGGCTGGCGTGCACAAAGCTGATTTAGGCCCTGCCCTCTCCTCCCCGGACTTGACGGCTGCCTTTCACACTGGGTGTAAAATACTGTCTGGGGATGTATTTCTGGTATGAAATATGGATGGGAGCCTGTGCATGTGCATTTAGGCAGGGAGAGGTGAGAGAGAGGTCACTGTTCACTTTGCCGCCACAGACTTGGAGGCCATCCAGCGCAAAAAAAGATACAGCGGCTTTTTCTCCCCCTCTCATTCTGCTCTGCTTAGGGATGATGTGTGGAGATATGAGGCATGAGAAAAGCGCACACACGTGTTTTGAGCGAGAGTTCAGAAGGTATGCTGGCTATGGAAAGCATGAGCAGAGATGGGAATGTCTCTGTGATCTAAATGAGAGACTCGTAACTAGGACAGTTTTTTTATTCACCCCATTGACCAGATCATGGTCATCAAAGAGGAAAACAAATATGAACAAACTGAATCCACCGGATAGAACTCGATCTGTACACGCAGCGTGCTATAAAGAGCAGAAAACGAGTGTTGTTTTCAGAGATCAGCTTTCATTGATGGCCCAGCCGTGTTTGCGATTTGAATAATGCAATTTTCAATAAAGTAAACATAAATGGCCTCTTTTCTTCTGCTCAGCCCTCTTGTCCAAAGGATACGTTCAATTATTCACAAGCTTTGGGTGGGTAATGTGTAATTGATAACCTGCATGCTATTTATATTTCATTTCAAAAGGACAAATAATACCGCTGACCTCCAGCTCATGTGAAATTCTATGATTATGGAACAAGATTAGATGCTTTTTGTTATTGAAGTCAACATGAATACGCAATTGCGTCATGTTGTACTTCCAACAATCTATTAAAAAAAGTCAGGTGGGATTTTATCCAACGGGATTGGATAGTAAAATGTTGGTTGGAGGTCAACCAACTTAAAGTGTCGTTTTAGAGGTGGAGGCTGATAAAAAAGTATTTTAAAAGATTTTTTTTTCCCATTGCAATGACATGCACTGATGAACTGTGCACAAAATGGACAGTAATGTAAATTAAGTTGAAGGGATAGTTCATCCAAAAATGAAAATTCAGTCATCATTTACTCACCCTCACATGGAAGCTTGTTTCCGCCACAGAATAAAAAATAAAAAAGGTAATTGTGACTTGACTTTGTTTCTCACAATTGTGAGTTTACATCTTGCAATTCTTACTTTTTATCTCAGAATTATGAGCTATAAACTCGTAATTGTGTTATAAAGTCAGAATTGCGTGATATAAAGTCGCAATTCTGACTTTTTTTCTCATAATTCTTAGATAAAAAGTCAGAATTGCGAGATGTAAACTCACAATTGTGAGAAAAAAAAGTCAGAATTGAGAGATATAAACTCACAATTGCGAGTTATAAAGTCCAATTCTAAGAAAAAAATACATTTTTCCTCAGAATTGCGAGTTTGTCACAATTCTGACTTTATATCTCGCAAATGCGACTTTATATCATGCAATTCTGAATGTAAACTCGCAATTGTGAGATAAAAAGTCGCAGTTACCTTTTTTATTTTTTTATTCTGTGGCAGAAACAAGCTTTCATACTAAACAGTTGTGGGGCAGCACTGACTTCCATATATGTTTTTTTTTCCCACACTATGGAAGTCAATGGTGTCCCACACTGTTTTCATGTTGACTTTAAAGTATACCTGGGACATAACGTCACAAAGTGACAAATACAGCTTATAAAAGATGCGTGCATATTAAGTCCATACTTGTAATACAAATAATGACCAAATGAAAGAAACCAATTTGTGATCATATCTATTTACTGCATGGAATACACTCAATATTTTATTAATATTATTAAGACAATGAAGCATTCACAAAGCACCAAGAGTGACATCTACAAGGGCATTGGCTGTAACAATGAACAGGTTATGCAAAGAATAAAACAATAGAGTCCAAGAAAATATTCAGAGGTGGAGAGGACAAACAAAACACAAAAACTATAAAGTGAACATCTTTTTTTTTTAAACACCTCTTCCATCGAGATACTAGGTAACAGAATGAGAAAAGAAGATTGAAGGGAACAGAGAACAATATTTGGTGATACTGTATGATTAGGGATTGGTTAATCTGTGGCAGCTGAGAAGGCTGTTGTGATTGGCCAGAATGTATAAGGCGGTGGAGGAGGCAGAATGACAACCATTAGCCCCCATCATCATCAAGCCCTGTCACCACAGCACCCACACATATACTGCTACAAGCGTGCACGTATAGCATTAAAGTGACATTAGATTGCAACCATGGTTACATCACACTCATTGTGTATTAGAGATACAATTTATGTAAAAATAACAATTCATTAAGTGCTACTCTGCTTGCATAAAACTAACTCCTTTTGCAACAAATTTTGGCACCAAAGTTGCAAAGATCAGAGGGCTCATTTATAAAACCAGATTTAAGTCCAGATTTAATCCTAAATTCAGATTTAATCCTAAAGTCCATGGATTTGATCCTGCGTAGGAACAAATTGGGATCAAGGAAGGCTGAAACTGTCATGGCAATATTCTTGTACAAGTGAAAAGCATGCATAATGACCTTTTTGCTGACTTAATTTTCTGAAGACTTTTATTGATGCAATTGCAAAGTGAACAATAGACTAAATGAATAAATAAATTGTCATGTTTACACACACTCGAACACACACAAAATAGCACTGTCCAAATTTTGTTGCATTGAATGACGGCAGAAACCAGTTCACCACTTTATCATTTCATTTTCAGTTTTTTAATCATCGGTAATGATCATGCTTTCACATTTAGGATGATCATACGCACATTTCATAAATGAGGCCCCAGAGCTTTACACATTGGCACTAAAGGAGAGCTGAAAGAATTATGATCTAAACAGAAGGATTAGTAAGTTCAAGATCAATGGCTGCCCTGCCACACTCTGTAGAATAAAGTTCACTCTATAATTTACTTGTACACCTCAACATCAAACAAATATGGGTACATTTGAGTATGTGTGAATTTATTTTAATTTTTTTCACTGGCTAGTTTGCAAGCAGGTTCTATACTTGACATGGTCATATGGTCAGTATGTGCTACAGTGGCTGACATAAATTCCCATGGGGAAAAAGGGCAGCAAGAACATCAGACTCCTCTGTATAGAGAAGCAGTTTCAGAATTATCTAGTTGTTAACCATGAAAACAAAGACAAAGCATCCCCAGGCCATAAGCACAAGACACAGCTCATAGAAGTCTCAAAACAAGACTCCTCACTGTAATCTTTGTTGACTTCTGCAGTCCCTATTTTGAAGGGAATGAACCAGGCCTGAGTTGCTGAGAACACTGTGTTGGATTAGTTTGGTGTGTTATACTTCCCTCATAATACTTTCTCTAAACTATTAACTAAATAACGACTGCGGTTTCAAACACAGCCCCATTCCTCGCAGCACTGAATGTTCCTCAATGGAGCACTGTGTGTGTTAGCTGCTTGCTAATGCTAACTTTAGCATAGCATCCAGACTAGACAAACAATGTGCTCTCTGCTTTCAGCGCTACATATCCAAGAAAGAAGGTGATGCTGAGGATGTGGTCAGACTGGGAAGGAAGAGGAAAAATTCGAGCAAAAAGTCTCTCTCTTCTCTATTTTCACAGCACCCATCAAGAAACACAGAGTGGTCCTTTTTGCAGGTGGTAAATTTAGAGGCTAACATATTAAATTTAGCCTGTGATTAGTGCCTGTAAGGCAGGGCAGGGTGTAACTCTGCCAGGAGAGACTCGCTCACTGTGCAGTGGCATAGAAAGTCCCAAATGACTACATGAGTATGCCAGAGTTTAAAAAAATCCAAAGGATTTGGTGAGGAACCGGCTGTCACTAAGCATTTAACAGCCCTCAAACCAACACCCTTGAAAATTATGCTTTCTGCCATAAATGCAGCTGTTTACATCATCTGAGCTCATTCCTGAAATGGGAAAAGAGCATCATGAATGTCTGCTGAACACCTTCATGTTTTAAAATGTTCGTTTGTTTGTTTTCGTCGTAGGTTACAGTGTTGTCATCAGAAGATAACACCATGGTACTTTTTCATATACCAAATTACTCCACAGTACTTCAAAGAATACCACAGAATTACCATGGTACATTTCCTAAAAAAACATAGCACTACGATGGTACATGTCCAAATGCCATGGCATTACAATGTTACCATATCCTTACAACCATGAAAAACTGGATTAAACATAGTTGTCAAATATAATCTATAAGTGTTTTTTTTTTTTTTTTTTTTTTTTTTTAAATAAAAACCTACTTTAACTAGCCTAAGGTGGTTTTAGCTGGTTTAGGCTGGTGTGTCAGCCTGGCAAAGCTGGTCTTCAATTGGTCAATCTGGTCTCCCAGCCTGACCAGAAGAAAAGTGCCTACAACCTGGGAGACCAACTAAAACCAGCAAACCGGCTTAGGCTGGTTTCAGATGGCTTTTCTTCAGCAGGGTAGGCTAGGGAGCAGCTGTGAAACTGCTAGCTGTGGCTAAGTGCTCATATTCTGTCGGTAGATTCAATGAAAGGTATATTATTCTCAAAGCTATAAAGTCTTAAAAGCAGATGACATCATCTGACATGTACCGCTACACATTTGACATAATATGAGTCTGTATACAGAGCATACAGTGTGCAGGGTGGAAGAAATTTTAAGATGGTTGTTTTGAGTATTAATTCAGGTCATTCAAGTGGAAAAATAGAGTGAATTTTTTTTTTTAAATTAACAAAATGACTTCCTTTCAGCGACAACCGAGGCGTGTTCTGAAAAAATGTAATTGCAGTTCAAATAAATGGCTTCCAAATGGGTGGTATTCTGACAGAAAACTGGACACTATAATTAAGCTATAGCTCAATATAAATAATCAAGAGGCATGGTGGAAGATTTCTCATTCACAATAACAACCTAGAGATACACACCTTTGGTCACTGATCATCAAACACCAAAATTCTGCAAAATGTATCAGTTTTACATAATTATGCATGGCCTGACGTCTGCCTGGAACTTAAAAGTCTACCATTGCAATGCTGAACATCTGATATTAAACATGAGCATGATTTTGTTGGCCTTAATTGAAATTTTTGTGTAAAGCCAAGAACATCAAAAGTATAGAGTTTTATAACTATGTGGTTTACAGTGTTCAGGGAATCTCAATCACTAGTGCACACAATTATGACAAGGGAAGCATAGCTGCATGCTTCATAATGAATAAAAGTGCAACATTATCAAGTGAAACCAACCACACTTTATAAAAGAACTGGACATCAATCCAACAAACAAAATATATACGCAGTGATGGCATTTGTGTTCCAACAATATCTAAAGGGAAAATAATCTTAGAGGCATCTATACAAGTTTTACAGAGGACTTTCTTGGTCCATTTCCGGTTGTTGCATATATAACCATGTTAGCTAAAATATAGCTTTGAGCAAATACCATATGCACAGGCAAGGTAAGAGATACTTGACAGTAACAAACTTCGGGTGACTCGTGCTGGGAAAATGGGGGATAAACTGACATCCTATGAATAAGGTCCATAAAAAAACATACAGACAACCAATCTGTTTATATGCATGTCCTTGAGTCTTTAAGTCATTGTGTGGTACGCAAACAACAATTAAAGTGCCCTATGTCATTTTAGACTGTCAATGATAAAAATGGAAAATAGTCAAATAGATTGTTTAAAACAAGAATTATGGTGGGATATGACACTACAGGAGGGCCCAGTTTTAAATAATCTGTCCTTTCTATCATATGGCACATGGTGCACTGTGCCTGTGTTCCCACTCTAGGGCCACTGGGTAAAAGGAAAAAGTAGCTTTTTGCATATAGTAGCTCCTTTCTCCTCACACAATTAATTCATGCCTTTCACTTCTGTATTTTAAAAATAAAACATGCTTAGTTCTGAGAAATGCATGTATAACTGTGATTCAGTCCATGTACACAAGGCTTAACAAGTGCTGTCTCAGGGAACTTAACACTTGTAGGAGGGTGCTGTAAAGTATCTTGAAGGTATTGCTGATAAATTAGCCATTATTTAGCAAATAGTCATATAGTTAACATGTCTAGATGTTTAACATTAAGTTTTAGATAGTAGCAGATATTCAGGTATCGAGAGTTCCAAGATTATTTGATGAATATATTTTAATCACTGGACTAAGCTAATATAGATTTCATCCACTTGCCTCACAAATGAGGCTAAGTAATGTAACAACACAGATTACCTGCTCAAAATAGTGTAAAACACTAGAAGATAAAATGCAGGAGGCATGCTAGTGAAGATCTACTGGATATAAGGTCATATAAAAAAGAGCAGAGAGAATAAGACCATCTCATTACCAGCATGCTCAACACTTAAGCACATAAGCTAGCTTGACAGAATGTACTGCATTGAAACATATGTATGGATTCCACGTGTAGTATTAGCAGGAAAAAAACTGCCGGAAGTTCATAACATCCCCTTTTGCCTTGTGTCTAAAGCCAGCAGTTTGATTGATAATATGAGACACAGACTCCTCTGGCGGTAAAGCTCTTGCCCACACTCCTGCCTTCCTCGGCACAGAACCAGACCTCATTTGACCTTGAATGGCGGCTCTCTCTCTAGCCAGCGAACACGGACTTTCTGTTTGTAGTGATACTCCTTGAGGAAGTCCTGCATGGTTGGAGGCAGTGGCAAGGCACCAATGCCATCGTAGGTGGTGCATCTGCAGATGGCGGCTCGCGCCAGGTGCTGAAGGCTGAAAGGGAAAGTCCGGTGTAAGGGAGCAGTGAGCAGGGGCTCAAAGAACATACAGGCACTGGGGTCTTTATAGTGCTCAAGCAGGCCTGTTACCGTGGAGGAGTGGAAGACACAGGGGTCATGCGCATCAAAACTAAAGTTGTGATTCCATTGTTCAATGCGTGCATGCAGCGAACGATTGTAGCGTCGAAAACTAACGGAGAACAAGTAGTCCTCCTGTGCAGAGTCACGTAGCAGGAAGGTTCCTTCTGGCCGTCCGTCCAGCAGTGCCTCTGCTTGGTACCGGTCCATCACCCCCCAATAGCAAGGAAGTGCAGTTATGGCCTGTAGGTCAGGAACCAAACAATGGATATAGTCAATCTGTGTGTGGACCTTCCAAGGCCCTGGCTGTCTGGAGCAGTGAGTGTCTCCAGAGGCATGCCTCTGCTTGGGCCTTCGTGTCTGTAAGCAAAGGGTAGTTGAGTCCTCCTCAGAGTCACAGTCAACAGTGTGAGATGGCACTGCCAAACTCGCTGCAACTTGTGCGGCAATTCCCGATAACCCCCCAGAAATGGAGGAGACTGTTCCCAGGCTCCTGCCCTCCACAAGTCCTTCCCCAACAACAGGAGCCATCTTTGGTCCCAGTTTATAGAGGGAAGAGGTCTGTGAAGTTGCCTCCAGTGTATGGATCTGTGCGTTTGGAGGGGGATCCACTCCTTCCTCTATGCTAAGTCTACGTCGTTCACGCAGTCTCTCCTCCTCGTCCTCAGGGGAAGAATGTGCTGAATCAAATGCATCCAAAAGAGCAGTTGAGGAATGAGGGCTGACTGGTGCTGTATGTTGCTTAATTAAGTGCCACTTGTTGGCTAGATCCGAACCGGGTGGGAAAGGGCATGTTTCAAGCATCAGTTCCGTCAGGTGGATCTTACGTTTGGAGGACACCTGGCCTTTGGCTGACTGAGAGCGGCGGTGCGTGGTGAGAGGAAGGCACAAGCCTACGGTGTCTCGAAGTCGCTGCCGCAGAGAACGGTTGCTAAGGCTGCGCCCACTGCTGCCAGCTCCTACAGAATCATTAATCTCTTGGATGGAGCTAACTCCATAACGGCGCTCTCTCCTGGCTGTACTTCCTCTTGAGCGTCCCATTCGCCTGTCAGCCTCAAGTGAACTTTGTGTTTTAGTTGAGCAAGAATGTTTCTTTTTACCTCCCCAGGGAGCATGACGTGAGTAGGAGTCCCTACGCACAAGGGGGGCCCTCCTTGCTTCATCACTCTCTTTGTCAATGGAGATTTCTACTATCTGGGGAATATCTGCCACACAGTTATGGCCTCTGCGTCCTCCAGTAACCAGTGGGAGTGGTGACAAAGTCCGTGAGGGTGTGGAAGACCTAGTTTCATAGGGTTCTGCATGTGCTCCCCTGCCCAAGTCCACCACACAGTGAACACAATCTAAGTCCTGGCTACACAGACTGGACTCTGTGCCATCCTTGTTGAAGAGGGCTTGGCATCTACTCCTGAGGTTACCCCACATCTTGCCCACTTTCTCCATAGATTGGAGACAACCTATCAGAGAAACAAAAAAATAACAATGAAAATCTTTTCGCTGTTTATACATAAGACCAGCGACAGTTTGTAAACTACAGACAAAAAGAAAAAATGGACAAAAGGAATACGTGACATTTTTGTGCGCACTGGATGGGAGATGGTCTATAAAGGTACATTCCTAGGGCACTGAAATGAAAGCATAATACGTTAGAATAGTATTTAAACCTGTAAGCTGGGGTGATCTGATAAGATTGTAGTTTTAACTAAATGGAATGTGATACATATTAGACAGATAAAACAGCACTAAAACGTGTTAAGTGTGTGAGCACAAAGAATGTGTGCACTAAGAATGTGTGCACAACGTTATACACAAAGAGCATGTATATAGTGGTTGGGTGCTGGAGTGGTACAGTTAGCACAGAGTTGCCAGGCAGATATGCATTGACACAAGGCCATGGCTATAAATGAACTGAGGGATCTGCTCACAGCTGATCTGCTGGTATGTTCTGTATTACTGAGCCAGTCTGGACCTGACCAAGAACTTTCACTGTCATGGTAGCAGACAGACACACGCGCGCACACACACACACACACACACACACACACACACACACACACACACACACACACACACACACACACACACACACACACACACACTAGAGAGTGGTAAAAACGAGACAGAAGTATGGATAGGGGGAACACTGACAGAGAACATGTAGGCAGACACAAAAACAGCCGGTCTGAGAGGCGGTTACTGTTCCCTTTTTGTCATAAAGAAAAAATGCTTAAAACACTGTGGTTGTACTGCACAAATTATGCTAAATTGAGGCCGCCGGCAGATCATGCTCACATCTCCACATTATAAGAGGAGACCAAACGTATCATCTTCACAGAGCAAAATATACGGTTGCCTAGTCTAATGCCAAGATAATACATATGAAATGCAAATGAAAACTTAATATTTGAACAGACCTTGCAATAAACCTCAGAGAAAATCCAAAAGAATCTGAAAAGACTGAATACTATGGGATTTCATAATTCTCATATCCAATTCATACCAACACTAGAAGCTACATTTATCTCCGTGTATATACTAGTAGTCAACCGATACTGGATTTTTGGAATGCCAATGCAGATATCTTAAGATAGTAGGGTGGCCAATGGCCAATATATATATAATTTATACTTATTTTACTTATTATTTATTAAAATATTTGAAAATTAATTATTATAATCTGTAAAAAACAGACTTATTTTTTTTAGGTGTCAACGTCTTGATCCTAGTACAGTATTTTTCACAAATAAAGACATTGTAAAAAAATATTATTAAAAAGGAAGTAAACATAAGTAGGTTTGTACGCACTGGTATCATATTTTTTTTAAATAAAGACACTAATTTTACATACAGCACACAGTGAAAACGATACGAATATGACATAGTAGGAAACTGGACATAGTGCAACATAGTTTGAAATCAAGGTTTAATGTTTGTCTATTGTGCGTGTCCAGTAACAGCTGAGCTCTCCTGTCCGCATTCAAATCGCACGGACAAATGCAGTCTACAAATGCACAGGCTGGATTCTGCAAGGTTTGTAAAATTAAAGGTTTATTATTATATTCAAAGATTTGTTTAAATTATATAAATGTGTATTTGCTAAATGTCAACGATAAATGAGAAAGTATTGTAGTGTTTGTCTTTCTATTACTAATAATATAAAAACAAACGCTATAAAAAATAAATTTGTAAACTGCCTACTTTGTGTAACAGTTCTATCTAATAACACGTTAGTTAGAAGATGAGGGTGTTCTCAGCGCTGTCAAGATAAAAGTCCCACTTCAACAAATCAGCCAAATGGAAAAACGTATCGGCTAATGCCGATATTTAAAACCGGCCAAATATCCGCCTTGGTGATATATTGATTGACCACTAGTATATATGGTGCATTTCTTTACTAGGGCACACAAATAAAACCACAAAGATGAGCAGTGAAAATATACTCCTATCATTTTGCTCTCAGAGCATCATGAGTCATGACAGTAATGGCGCACTTGATGTGGACTTGCAGTCCCGTGGCCTTCGTTCTTTCATGCACACGTAAAGTGATTCAGAAGGGTGCTCGCAAACTGCGGTCAACCGATAAGAGAAACATTTTAATTGATTAAATTAAAAGACAATATTTACTCAGTATTCACTAAAACACTGAAGACAGAAAAATGTACAACCCATAAACAAAGCCATTGGAGTATTACAAGAAACAACAATCAACAATGATCTCAAATAGAAATCTCAAATTTGGTCAGCATTTGGGACAAGGCCTATGTCAGTTAACTGGCTAAACTTAATATTCCTTATTAGATTCTGGGACAGAAGTCAGTAGAAGTATCAAACAGTATTTAACATGGTGTAAACATTCTGTTCAATCACCTTTGCAGTACACAACTAAAAATTGGTTGGAGTATGCAAAAATATCCATGTTATTTATTTTATGTACAGCATTTATGACATTGCATTCTTAACTAATGCATTACAACTTACTAACTTAACTGCATAACATAAGCTGAATTGCTGTAAGTTAAATCAACCATATATTGACTTCATTATTTAAAACGCCCGCCAAGAAGATCCTGAAAGTCTAAATAGCACTCTCACTGTGCACTGTATAACTGCAAAAGTTCTTCGTTTAAAGTGCATTACCAGAGTCAAGTTTGGCATCAGGTGTTGTTTTCATATTTAAAAGGTGGTGCTGCTTCCTTTTACTACAGGAAGTTACTTCAAATAATACCACCCTTCCCAGAATTAAGAAGGACCAAACTACCAGGACCAATGCACACGCAATCACACAGCCTACAAAATAGTTTAAAAAAAATATCTTCAAACTTTATTCTTCACATGATAATTTAATAAAGACACCAAATCTCTTACATTATCTGTCAACATTCCAAAATTAAATCATATTATGGGCAAATTACTAATGTATCTAAACTGTTTGGTACATGTTAAACATGAAAAATATGCCAGTGAAGAGCAGTAGGTTGTTGCGGAGAGAGTTACATAAGAGTGAAGAAACACTTAAACACTGAGATAGGGCTTTGGACTGAACCCATCTAATGATCCATCGCTTCAAACATCAATGTTCTAAGCAATTCCAACTATCCAGCTTCACTGCAGCAACAATTATTACGGTTTTATTACATGTCCATGTGCTGAGAAGTTGATCTTTGGCAAACACACATTAAATCAACAATTTCACATTTACTGTTGCTGATCGCTAGCCAAAAAATAACATTGCACCTGCAGAGTAATGTTCACATAACACTCCAAATACGACGCGATGAGACATGGGCTCTTTTATTTCACACGCTCTGCCCTTTCAGCCTCCAGATACATCCATAATGAACTGCAATATCAGATGCATCGGCTTTGTCTTTTTCCACGCGAGTTGGCATTATTTTTTCCTTGACTATGCAAATCACCTTCACAAAAACAAACAGCTCTGGCTTCCAAGAACGAATGCACAGAGATGATATTCTCTCCAAACATTGTTCCTGGGCTGACAAAAAGGTTGAAGGACATTTCTGAGCATGTCTTTATTTACAGACACTGCCTGAAAAAAAGAAACATTTGACAATTTACCCAACCTCATGTCATTATGACTAATCTGTATTATTATTTTCTATAAAACAAAGGTGATATACGTCAATGTCCAAGCTTCTGGTTTCCATACAATGAAAGTGAATGGTTGGGGGCAAAACCATTAACCAAAACACTGATGTTTAATGAGCAATTTTCAATGACAATTTTTGACTGCATCTATTTCATGCACACAATGTGAATAAGTTAAACCAGATAAAAATATCAGCAGTGTAGACACTTAACACCAAAGATAGCAATATGTAACATTTGTTCAGGAGGTGGCTTTAAAGACCTTTACTGAGTTTAAATTTTTCATCTGAGAACACACCACCCTGAACAGCATACCATGTTCAATTACCAATTATATTTTCAGTTTCAGTAAAAAAATAAATAAATTGGAGATATAAACTGTCATTCACTTTTATTGTACTAACAAAAGTTCGTAAGGTCTTGTTTGTGTTTCACAGAAGAAAAATGTAGATAATTAAAAGGTTGGAATGACATAGGGAGAGTAAATGATGATGATGAAATGGTATAATTTTTATGTGAACTATTGAGATAAAATGACATTTTATTCTCCTGCTTTAAAGGGGCCATGAACTGCATTTATGATGTTCTCTTATAATGCTATCAAGATTTTGACATAAAAAAAACATCCTAATTTATAAGTAATAAGCTATTCTATCCTGTTTTTGACCCTCTCTTTCAAACACTTAGTTTTGATTGAGCGACATTCAAGACTTGGAAGTAAATGCCCACAGCTATGATTGTGTAATAGTTTTGTATATCAAAATAATTCCAACCATTACACGTGTGGAATTAATTTGAAAACTTCTGATGTTGAAAAATATCTCACTACACAAACATTTGCCAACAATGTGAAACATTTTTGTGTTTTATATGCTTTATCCACAATTATAGTTGACAGGATAACTTTCAGCGTTTCGTGTAAACGGAATCATTTCGTTCTTATAGGCTACACCTATATAAATGAAGGTGACTTGACTATTCATCATTCATCCTTTTCCATAAAGTGAAAAACATGTACATTGTCATTTACAGTGTCATGTTTTAAATAAAATGAAGCGTGTTGTAATGTCTTACTGATAACAAAACAGAAAATGTCGCTCACTGAAGCGTTTATTCAGGATTTAGCGAGATTAAAACAATAACAAAAGCAGCGTTTTCCATGCATTCTTCCATATCTGGGAATCCGCCGTATTAACCCATTAAACGCAGAAGCAAAGGAAAGAACAGCAAATCACAACCATCATCAGAACTATTCAGTTTGACTGCAGTGCTACAGTATAAATACTCAGTACACATCAAATAATCTGTATCAGACAAAGCAATAGTGACACATGTTAAAAATACTGTTACT